TGTCTGCCGAGGTTCCAGGAACCCGGCAATGGGAGCCGGAGCCGGAGCCGGAGGTCCAGGGAGCATTCCAGAGCGCTCCAAAAGCAGATGCTGACTCATGGTCAGGCCGAGCTGAGGTGACAGCCCCCACCTCTGAGGGGACTGCAATGTCCTCTCTTGGTCTGTATTATTCATACACTGTCCGACTGACCTCCCTCAAAATACGTCCGAGGGCTGGTCCCTGCTTGTGGAGAAAGTTCAAAACAGGCATAGATTTAGTAAAGGAAAAACCTGGATTCCAATCCAAGTTCTATCACTTACTAGCTACATGACCTCAGGCAAGTCAAAAATTCTCCTAACATCTTCCAGTGTTATCCATCAGTGGGGAAGACACCTGCCCCACTTCAAAAGGAAGAGATAAGGAAATGCTTTAATGATAAATTGGCTTGATGAGCTGTTTAAGCAGCTTGTAACTATAAAATACTGACAGACTTTCTCTCATATTTCCTTATGACCTGACTTCCTCATAATACAGTATTCTTCACAATGACATTCAACAAATGTTCATTTAGTACATACTAATTAAATGCTAGGCTCTGAATAAGCAATACCAATGTACAGTATTAGGGAGCTGCGGGGTTTTTTACTGTCTAGTCACTGCAACACGAATAGCACAGTTAAACATGGTTTCAACTGTGGCTTCAAAGCCTAATTCAAATAGTCTTATGAATTAAAAGAATAAAAGGATAATTACAAATGATGGTCTGCCTAACTCAGTTCAACAAACACGGTATCAAACACTGTAATGGGCATTAAGGCAGAAATAAATGAGACGCTCTTATAGAACTTTTACTATAGCGGGGGAAGCAGTCAACAAATAACCCCAGCACTAGGCAAAATGTGGTGAAACTATGGAAGCATTAGAGACAAAAAATAATTCTGATTAAGAAAATGGATAACAAAGTTCCCTGGGGGAAGTATTAACAAAACTGAAACCTTGAAAGGATTAGAGGCCATTCCAGAGAGAAGACCAGGAGCAAAAGTATAAATGAAAGCAGTTCCACAGATGTGTGTGTGTGTGCATTTGGGTGTGGGGAAGCGGGACAAGAGTGGAAAAATAGTCTGGTGGGACTTCCCTGGTGGCACAGTGGTTAGAAATCTGCCTGCCAATGCAGGGGACACAGAATTTGAGCCCTGGTCCGGGAAGATCCCACATGACGAGGAGCAACTAAACCCATGCGTCACAACTACTGAGCCTGTGCTCTATCAGCCCGCGAGCCACAACTACTGAAGCCTGCGTGCCTACAGCCTGTGCTCCGCAACAAGAGAAGCCACCGCGATGAGAAGCCGACACGCTGCAACAAAGAGTAGCCCCCGCTCACCGCAACTAGAGAAAGCCTGCACGCACAGCAAGGAAGACCCAACACAGCCACAGATAAATAAATAAATAAATTTATTTTTAAAAAAAATTTTAATAAATAAATAAATAGTCTGAGACCACATTTGGGGGCCAGGGGGATGTGCACTGTGCTGAAATATCTGACCTATAGCCTGGGCAGTGAAGAGGCATCCAAGGTTTCCAAAAAGGAGAGTGGCACAGTCAGAGCTACACTAAGGAAGACCGCTCTGATGGCAGTGCAGACTGAGAAGCTATTTTAATTGGCGAAGAAGTCACAGCGCAGTAAACAGCAAAAATAAAGAGGAGAGGGAATGGCACCTAAAGTCATGGATATATATTCAGGTAAAGAAGTTTAAACTGTTTTTTTTCCCCATCCAGTGTTACTTCTTGCTCTCTCTAGACTTGTCCTTTAGGAGGAAATACGAGAATGTGATTTTTTTTTTTTTTTTGCGGTACGCGGGCCTCTCACTATTGTGGCCTCTCCCGTTGCGGAGCACAGGCTCCGGACGCGCAGGCTCAGCGGCCATGGCTCACGGGCCCAGTCGCTCCGCGGCATGTGGGATCGTCCCAGACCGGGGCACGAACCCGTGTCCCCTGCATCTGCAGGCGGACTCTCAACCACTGCGCCACCAGGGAAGCCTCCACCACAATTTTAAGGTGAGTTTTTAAGAATGATTTGCCATGTCAGCCTAGCAAAGCTTACTCTAGAGTTCTAATTAATCTTCATGTATACAACAAACTTTAATGTGATGTATGCGACTTCCCTGGCGGTCCAGTGGTTAAGACCCTACGCTTCCAATGCAGGGGGTGCGCGTTCGATCCCTGGTGGGGGAACTAAGATCCCACATGCTGTGTGGCATGGCCAAAACAAACAAACAAAAATGTAATATATGGACCACAATCGCTATTTTTGCCTTCTACAACCAAACTAATTTAGGCTAAGATAAAATACTTGTTAACTCAGGGCAGTGACAACACTGAGACAAATTAGAGCTCTCAAGAGAAGCTGAACAGGGAGTTGTTTTCTCTTATAAAGGAGAGGAGAAAGCAATCAAGATCTATAATGCCAGGCCACTGAGTACAAAGCAATCTGCATTTCCATTTCCTTTTGGGTCAAGTACCTCTGAAACCATTCTGTAGCCATTTCCAAGTAGCCCCTTTCCAGGTTGAAAGTGTAAACTTGTGTTCTCCGGGCATGCCTTAGTCAATTCTTCTTAAACAAGGCCAATAGCTGGGACAAATATATGATCTGAATTCATTATTTTTCTCATCCATAAGTGATGAGATTTAGTGTTGGACTCCAGGGCCTCCGAGGTTCCTTCTAGCTCTAAAACTGTCCTTTTTTGTTGATGTCCTTGGGCCCTTTGCCTTCTCCCAAATTCCTTTAACAGGCACAGAGCAAATATGCAGGGGGTAGAGTATCGACTTTGCTTCCAGGCCCTCCTGTACCACAATGTTCAGACTTGAGGCTTCCAAAGGAGGTCCAGTTTGTTAATGCTGACCATCCTTTAAAAAAAAAACAAAAACAAAAACTTCAAGTTCCTTGGAGAAAAGGCACTAAGGACTGGACTAAAGAATCAAGACATAATTGCAGCAAACTGACTGCAGTAAAGAATTTTTGAAGTCCAATGGTCCTTTGGGCTTTTTCTTAATAACAAAAAAATTATAAAATCCTACAATGACAAAGTATTTGTTAATGCCCAAAAGATACAACATGCTTTAAAAACTGCATGAAAACAGACCCTTTCTTAGGAGTATCTTCCTCCTTGATGAGAAATAGGGACAGCAGAGTTAAGAGTTCCCTTAATGGCTCATTCCTAGCTCCTACCTGACACGTTACAGAAATAACACATTTATACTGATTATCCACTGAGAAAAGGTGATGATTGAGGAACGCACAATAATAAGAAGCGAGTTAGTTCACCTTTTAGGATCTTAGTTTCCGCCTCTGTAGTGACTAAATTATTTAGATGATTACCAAGGTCATTTTGTTTCTAAATGCTACACTCATCTGCCAGTTTCGGTCTCCTTCCCCCTAGGAGGGCTGGATCTCAGGTTAATATTTGGGTCCAACTATGTGCCAGGCATCGTGCTAGGAGCGCTGGGAATACGGCCGTCAACAACAAAAAAGGTCCCACATAACACGAATATACTATGGAAAGGGCGGTGGGGGGTGCGGAGGGGGACTGAGAAAATTCTAATATAACAGGTACATTTCCTAAAAGAGCTGGCATCCTGGTTTGGCTTTGACTTACTAGTAATAGTACCAATAAAAAACATGTAAAATTTTTTAAAATTAAAAAAGGCATTCAACCAGGGGCAAATTCAACATAAACTTCTGGGACATAAAGCAGGCAGATCCCAAGCCCTGGGAGCTACAGTCGAGATTAACTAATCAATAAAGAAGTCCATAGCGCCAGCTGCCGTGCCTGGGCCCCTTGCGCCAAAGTAGTCCAGACCTGGAGGGAAAAATGTAAAAGCAAAATGGAGGAGGGGCTACGGCAGAGTCTGCTCCGGAGCAAAAACCTCGTGGCTCGCTTCTCATGGCGCCAACCAGCCTTCCTGCTCCGCTCTCCCTGACCCTAGGAGGCATCATCCCACCTCGCCAAACCCAGCGCGCATCACCTATTTCTCGCAGGCTCCCCTTGAGGAGCCCGGGCACCAAGTGAACTTGTTAAACAGTAGGGTAAACAAGTAGCCACATCTTAAAGGCAGGGGAGCAAAGAAAAATATCTGAGAGGACTCTACCCTTCTCCACCTGCAGAAAAAGCCGCGGGCAAAGCTAGGAAAGCATATCCCTAGTCTCTCCTTGCCTTGCTGAAAAAACAAAGAAAGCAGGCTCCTAGAGGAGTCAGACACCCAGAGAACGACCTCCTTCCGCAGATGCAAGACGCGTACGGCCCCAGACATCTAAGAGCATGGGGCCAGCACAACTTTCTCATTGAAGCCGACCGCGTTTCCTCTTAAAACCCCCCAAAAAGAGAAGCCCCGACTATGATCATTTCACTGATGTCACCTCGCCTATTTGGCTCTCGGGATTTTACCCGGAAACCTCTGCAGTGCCCGGCACCGGCGTCCAGCCCAAGTGGGGCTCCCCTTCCCCGGGACGCCGCCTCACGTTCTCGCAGCCCTCCCGGTCGGGCTACCCGGCTCGCTCCGACCCGGCACCGGGGTTGCGTCGCCGGGCGAGCACATCAACGCCAGGCCGAGGGAAGACGGGTGTACCGGGGATTCGTAGAGGACCCCGCTTAAAGCCCTCTCCCCCACGACTGACTTGCAAAACAATAAGCATCCGCTTTCTCTGCCCCTCCCCCATAGGACCCCAGCCACGAATTACCGCCGCCGGGGAGCGTGCCAGCCCTGTGATCGGTGGCCGGAGTACCCCTGGAACCTCAGATGGCCCGAGTCCCCGGCCGCCCATCCGCTGCCGCGGCGCCCGGAGTCTGCGCGGGGAAGACTCTGCACTGGAGTGCGGCCAGCAGCGGAGGCGCGCGGGCCACGCGGTGGCTGCAGGAACTGACATGGCCCGCGGCCGCCGGCCACATGCGGCGCCGCCGGGCCCCGGCCGGGGTGGGGAGAGGTGGGGAGGAGAAAAGAGCGCGGCCCCGGGGCCCCGCCGTACCTTGCCGCTGGCCGTGCCCCCGCTAACGCCGATCAGGAAGGGCTCGCCGCCGTTGGGCTGCTGGTGGTTCTGCAGGGTCTGCTCGCTGTCCCCAGCCATGGCTCGCGCCGCCCCTCCTCCCGCTGCCTGTGCGAACGGACGCACGCTCCCCGCCCGCGCCGGGCTCCCTCCGCTTTCCCGCAGCCTCCGCTGGGCGCTGCCCAGGTCGAGGCTGACGCGGCTCCCTGCGCACTGCTCGGATCCCGGTGCTGGAGCTGGCTTTCCCGAAGGAGCCGAGAGCCTTCCTCTGCCCGCTGCAGCCGCTCCGGTTTACATCCCAGGCAGAGGTCAGCGTGATGCTGCTGCTCCAATCCGGGCGGACAGCGCACTGCTATTCGCCGAGGCAGCGGCGGCGAGGCGTCTGCCCCAGCCTCCGCCCCTCCCGGGCCCCGCCGCCGCCGCCGCCTGGGGTCTCTGGGAAAGGTATGAGCCCGACCCTTCTCCCAACCGGCCTGGTTAACCCTTTCCACGACGACGACCTGCGGCGGGACCAAGGGAAAAGAAGGAGCCTTCTGCGTTTTAATTGGGTATGCTCCCACCTATTTCAAAAGGGATAAAAAGCTAAAAGGACAGATCAAATAATGGAGGAGATGCCTCAGGTTTGAGAAGCAAAATTAGAACAAGCTTGGAAGGTTAAGATGAAACAAAGAGTTAATGTCATTTACCCATTATCCAGACTAAAACTTGTGTTCCGAAAAAGAGATTTCTTTTTCCCATCCCGTTTGCCAAAATAATATGTCAGCCTCTGGCTTTAAATATTTCCTCTCTTGGAAACCCCCAAACACCATCCTCCTTAAACGGCGACTCTCTGGAGTCCTTCCTAGAGAAAGATAATTTGAGGAGCTCATCTGAGGGAAGCCCTCCCTCCTAACATCAACGCCCTTTCTAACCGTAGTTTGAAATCCCAAACACTGAGGTTCCTGTGGAGTTAGGGCTGTGGAAACGATAAATAATACTTAATGTCACGTTGACTTATTAATACCTTTAAGTGAACTGGTTTTTCAGAGATGGGGAATTAGGCACTTGGTTACAAAGGCAGTAGCTGCTGATGACTCAGAACAGCGCCACCTCTGGAGCCAGATTTCTGCATTGACTTGCAGTTCCCTGAGCAAATTACTTAATCTCCCTTGCTCAATGTTCTCATCTGTTAAATGGGAATAATAATGGCAGTTACATGCTAGGATTATTATATTAAATGAACTATTGTATTTAAAGTACTTAACGTGGTACCCTGCACAGATCATATAAATGATCTATAGGAAAAGCCCCTAAAGGGCTGAAACTGGAAAGGGAAGCTTCGTTTGGGCACAGGGGAGAGAGGGAGGACTAGACTAGTCACAGCCGCTGCTCCTGTGAACCTGGGACTGGTATAAATGAGCTGATGGGGGTCCTACAGTCTAAAGGAGAAGTTAAGCCTATAGCATTCTCTTTCAAAACTTAGTGTTACCTAAAATTCAGAATTATTTTGAAAAAAAATTACTAAAGAAAATTGAGTATTAGAAAAAACAAATGTTCGCTTCACTTTTTAAATATTTCAGGTAACCATCCAAAACCAAACTCCACAGAAGCTCAGACAGGAAACTAAGCTGGGGAGAGCAGCTACCTGGTACCCAGAGGCAGGCATTTGGGAGAGGTTAGCTAGAAGGGTGCCTTATCAAATGCCTGTGGGGTGGGTGAGTTTTAGCTGATTCATGTGTCTGCTTCTCCTCCTCCAAGTTTTTCTCCACTAAAAAGATAAGATCTTCAAGGACGTTTGCAGAGCTCTTCACAGCCCAAGACACGGCCTATTGGAATTTGGAAGTTGATGGACTCATAGCTAAGGGGATATTAGGTAGCTGAGAGGAAGAAGAGGATAAAACACTGCCATGTCCTCCATGAACTTTCCCCAAATCTCTGCCTTTTTTTTTATCATTCCTATAACTTTCTTCTACAATATTTTATCATAAGAATTTTCAGACATACAGTTGAAAGATTTTACAGTAAACACTGATATAGCCACCACCTAGATTCTGCTGTTAACATTGTACTATACTTGTTTCATCACACTAGTTGTCTACCCATCCTCTATCACATTTTTATTATTTTTATTATAGTTTGTTTCCCTTTGTTACTCCAAACTGGTTTATACATTTCTTGCTTTGTCTGTCTAGTTTTTTTTAATCTTTTCCTTTTTAATTTATTTAATTAATTAATTTATTTTTGGCTGTGTCGGGTCTTTGTTGCTGAGCGGGGCCCACTCTTCGCTTCGGTGCGCGGGCTTCTCACTGTGGTGTCTTCTCTTGCTGCAGAGCATGGGCTCTAGGCACGAGGGCTTCAGTAGTTGTGGTTTGCGGGCTCTAGAGCACAGGCTCTGTAGTTGTGGTGCACGGGCTTAGTTGCTCTGCAGCATGTGGGATCTTCCCCAACCAGGGCTCGAACCCATGTCCCCTGCATTGGCAGGTGGATTCTTAACCACTGTGCCACCAGGGAAGCCCCTGTTTGTCTGTTTTTAACTACTATATCCCTAGCACCTAAAACAATTTCTGAGACATAGTAGGACCTTCATAAATATTTGTTGAATGAATGGACACCATATCTCATTTCTACATTCCCAAGGCCCACAGAGCAAAATAATTGGAAATAGGAAGCACTCAGTACATGTTTGTTGAATGAATGGATGGATGAATGAATGAACAAATATGAAAGAGGTAAGAAAATACCAACAAGTAAACTTCACTTCCACCACTTTGGAAGGAAATGTGGTTTTCCCTAGATTGCATTTATGTGGTTACTATTATTTCTGAATGTTTTGTTTTCCTGGCATTCCAAGTAACTGTCTACCTCTAATCCTAATACGTGCATCTATTAACTAGTTAAACTAACTCATTAACTGAGCTAACGCATTACACTTATCTGCACCCTGTTTAATAATAATAATATTTGACATGAGTTAATATACGTAAAAGTGCTCTGGGGACTTTCCTGGTGGCACAGTGGTTAAGAATCTGCCTGCCAATGCAGGGGGCACAGGTTGCATCCCTGGTCCGGGAAGACCCCACATGCCACGGAGCAGCTAAGCCTGTGCGCCACAGCTACAGAGCCTGAGCTCTAGAGCCTGCAAGCCACAACTACTGAGCCCGCGTGCCACAACCACTTTAAGCCCACGTGCCTAGAGCCCGTGCTCCGCAACAAGAGAAGCCACTGCACGCCACAACGAAGAGTAGCCCCTGCTCACCACTAGAGAAAGCTCGCACGCAATAACGAAGACCCAATACGGCCAAAAATAAATACATAAATAACTTTAAAAAAAAAAGTGCTCTGAAAAAAAACAAAAGCTATCTATATAAAGGCCTAATCCAGCTGCACTCTGCACTCCCTGTTTTCACTTTGCTGTTTTTTCTCTATCCTGTCTCTAGGGCAGGCTCACCTACACATAAGGAAGTTCCCCTTGTCCATTTAAATTATTAAGAGTATTCTCAGCACTGGTGACCTGAGCAAGGACTTTTGCATCTTTGCTCTCTAAAAAGCAAGGCAGGCTGTCTGTGCTATTCCCTGTGCTGTGTCATCCTCTCTTGGGAGCCTGTTCACCAAATCCCACAGCTAGGGATGTTCAAATCATGTTTGAGCCTCCTCTAGCAATAACACTGCAGATTTGGATTAAGTGATTTCCAGATGCCCTCTTTCCCCTCCCACTAAAAAAAAAAAAAAATCAAACATTTTCAATAAAATCCAGAGCTAGAACAGATTCAAGGGAACACATTTTCTCAGTATCTGTGAGAATTTTTTTAATACAAATTCAGATTTCAGTCTGATCAAGCTCTGGCCTAGTTAACATTTGGGAATGAAGTCAGCATGAGTGTGCAACTATAGCTGTAGCCAAAGAAGGAGAAAAGACCTTGCTGTTGACAGTCCTCTATCTGCCTGCCTTCTCTCCTTAAAGCAGCTATAGTTCTGAACTAGACAAGCAACCTTACATTTTGCCTCCAGCTGACAAATGCTACCTCTAGGTGCTTCATGCACCATAGCTAACTCTCTAATTGCTTATCACATTTCCCAACCAGAAAAAAATGTTCTCACACTTCAGTATGTCTTCTGCAGCATGTTAGTTCCCTGTTTTGCCTTTCCAACTACCTCCTGCCTTTTATCAATCAGCAATTGCTTTGACAGGTCATAAGTACTGTTCTGAAAAGATGACCAGATGATATGAAAGCTACTTCAGCATCTGGCTCTGTGATCTTAATCAATCCTGTTCTCGGGTACTGTTAAGCAGCAGGATACAGCACAGTCCAAGAAAGAACAGCTTCAGCAGCCTCTGAAGGCAAATCCACGGGCCCCACCCCAGAGGTAATAAACCTGAAAGTCTGTGGGAGGGGCCAAGTGATTTGTCTTTCATAAACCCTCCACTTGACTCTAGTGCCCACCAAAGTTTGAGAACTACTGATTTAGTGGAACAAAGACAGTGTGAGCTCTAGTCAGAAAAGCAAGCTTTACATCCTTGCTTTGTTACTAACTTTGTAACCTTTGGCAAGTTACTTACTTCCTATAATCCTTGGTTTCTTCAGCTGTTAAATGGTACCTGGCTCATAGGATGGTTGTGAAAATAATGAATCTATGTCGGTATGCATATAGTGGTTGTTAAATATCATTTCTCTTTCCCTCCTATTTCTGTCACAGGTCCCTGATTATTGCAAGAGTCATACCATTTAGAGATTAGGAATTCCAAAGGTAAGGACTCCTAATCCCCAAGGACACTTTAAACTAAAAATGAAATATAATGTCCAGAATAGGTAACTACAAGTAGAGCTTGCCTACAGCTAGAGAAGTTGGGGGATAAATAGGGAGTGGCGACTAATGGGTCCAGGATATCTTTCTTAGGGTAATGGAAATGTTCTAAAATTAATTGTCATGATGGTTGCACAACTTTTGCCTAAGAACCATCATTGAATGAATTGTATGGTATGTAAATTATATCTCAAAGCAGTTTCAAAATTAAGTCTCAACCTGCAGTCTAGGAGGGGTAAGAGATTTTTCAGAATTGGGAACAGAAATGGCAAAGGCACAGAAAAAAGACTTGAGAACTAAAAAGACAATGGTCAGAGGACTTTGTAACCTATAAAACAGTACCCAAATGCAAGTCGTTAATTTTGTTAAATTCAGTATATTGATTTTTGCACATATGCTCTTCCTCTTCCTCAGAAAAATAATAGTCATACAAGGGCCCTTAAATTTTAGCTGGCCCAACTTCAGAAATCCCACATGCCCACAGAAGTCTTCCCAGACTTTGAAAACATTAACATATAGATTTTAGTTCTATAGGGATTTTCTGATTTTCTCTCCTTACCTTATAACAGAATTTTCTAGTGTGATTCTATGAAAATAAGACTTTAAATAAAATAAGGAGTTCAGTTGTCTTGCCCAGCCAGCTCCCAGCATCACTATTTTGTTCACTCTCCTTGTTCTAAGCCATTTAGCTTCATTTTGTTCCCAGGTCTTATCCCAGACCTGCATCTGACCCTTTGCTTCTTTTCCTATCACCAGATTACCACACTGCCCATCCCACTTTTCTACAATGACTTCCTTCACCTTCCTCAATTAGCTACAAGGTCACTTTCTCTGTAATTAATCTACTTCTACTTCTACCCCTCCACCCTCCACCATGGGGCTGATGCTCTGTCCATTACACCATAATGGATGCATCGTGGTTGGTGATGTACAGTGCTGGGGACTAGCGTGACACAAGGGAGACCCCTAGGGTGCAAAATGTAAGGAGGCTCTGACTCTTGGATGGAGGAAGTGCTAGCGTAGGGTGGAACTTAAAAAGAAGTCCTCTTTACGTGTTTGCTCTAGACGCCTTCCTTGCCTCACCCCAGTCCCAGCCCTGGTAATTGTCAACAGGAGAAGCAGAGGACAGTACGGCTAATGGCATCAACCTCAGAGCAGTAGCTACATTTAGTCTGGTGGCTTGGCTTGTATTTAGACTGGTGGCCAAGGATGGCAGGTTTGACTGTCCTCAGGGTGATGGACTGAGGTACTAATTGGTGTTGGAGGCTAAATGAGATTGCAGATTTAGCAGGTTAGTTTTTGCTCAGAGTTCAAATGGTATGTTGCTGAAAAGTTACTTTGGTATCTCGAAGCAACCTCTCCCCAGATCATTAGGAGAGAAAATTAGTTCAAATCTGCTTCATAATGAAATTACAGCTGTTTCTGGTGGCAAAGAGGCCTAAGGCTTTGAGTGATGGAACCTAGTGTTTCAGAAATATTTTTAGTCAGAGACTGAGAAAACTAAAAAAAGCAGGCGATTCCCCAGGAACACACACACATACACACACAAGTAGAATTTTGAGTATAATTTACTCAGGCCTGACATAGCCCCAGTTTTCATCCTGGTGGCCAGGGGAGGTGGTGGGGGTGAGAACAGCTTCTGAGGAGAGCACCTATTGCCAGCACAATGGAAGTGTTAATCTCTTTTTAAGGAATATGGGCCATCTCTGCGAGCACAGAGGGCCCGGGGGCACGGTGGTTGCCGAGGCAATATCCTCAAAGGCACCCATCCAGATGTCCCCACCCATATTTTAGGATCCTAGGTTTTTATCACCAAGACCCTGACATTTTCCTACCGGTCCTGCCTTGGCTGACCAGTGTAAACAACTACTGAGCTCTGAGCCTCTAACAACTAGGTCTTCAGCCTGCTGCTCAAATGTGCCTGCACTTCTACTGCAAAAGATCAGTGTAAGGCCAACTGGCCCGAGGCAGGGGAACACAATCAGATTCACAGGTTGCATCAGACCGAAATTCTCCGGACCACCCAGTTCCAGAAACTGCCCTGGAGACATTCCGGACCACCCAGTTCCAGGAACTGACCTGGGGACTTCGAACCCAGCCCAGCCTTCCCGCCTTTCGAGGGGCGGGACTAACGGTCCCCCAGGATACCCGAAAAGACCACCAAATAAGGAATACCCTGCGCCCTCCCAGATTCACCACACCCCTTTTCCTTCTTCCCCTATAAAATCTTGCCCAACCCTCGCCCGGGTGCGACTTCTCTGGCCCCTTTCTCTCGGACCAGTGAACCTCGCCCGGGAGCGTTCCCTAATAAAGCTCACTTGAAGCTTTCCTCTGTTTTGCGGTGCGTTTGTTAAGATCCGACCTTACAATCAGGACCTCTTTGTAAGCTACCAGAGGTTCTCTGACTCTCACACTTAACCATTAACTGCTTGCTAACAATAGCATGTCACAACTTAGCAGCAACCAGCCAACTCCGGTCTTTCTAGGCACTGGTCCCCCACATTTTCTGAAAGGCCTGAAACATTGCTCCTGCCACGGCTTTCTCCGCCACCAGGACATTTTCACAGGCCACCACCAGTGAAACCTTTAGCAACTGAGGCACCATCTTGTGCCACGTCCCATTCCCCAACCAGGACACATCTTCTTCCTCTACTGGGCAGCAAGTGAGCCATTCCAAATCTCTGTCTGACCACCTATTTTCTTGGACCACTCTTGGTACCAGTGGTGCTAATCTGGGTCCTCTAAAAAGCAGATGCCAAGATGGGATTAAACACATGAAGATTAGGGGTAATGACTGTGAGAGGAAAGAGGGGGCTGGAAAAACTTGGAAGAGACCCCAGACTGCAATACAGACCTGGCTCTGAGTGAAGGAGAGGGGTAAGGAAGATTGGGCAGAAGCACGCTAGACTACCGTGCAGACTAAGAAAGGTTCAGCCAAGCTGTTGGGAGTCCTCAAGTTAAAGTTAACAATCAGAAGAGCCTCATTTCTCCTAGGAATGGACCTGCCTTAGTATTCCAGTGACATGGAGTATTCCAACTGGCTGGCAGTAGCCTATGGGAAGCACAGTCAGGGAGCAAATGCAGCACAGTGGCTCAGGCTCTTGGTCAGTTCTGCTCCTTGTGGGTGGAGTTCTTTGAGGCATTTCTCCTGGCCACCACATATGGAGAGTGAAGTGTTGAAATCTCTAACTAAAATTGTTGAATTATCTATTTTTCCTTTCAGTTATATCACTTTTTGCTACATGTATGTTGGGGCTCTTTTGTTAAGTACATGTAAATTTATGAGTGGTCATATATATATAGATATATATAAAGGATATACATATCCTTTTCCATTATGAAATGTCCCTATTTATCTCTAGGAATATCCTATGCCCTAAAGCCTGTTTTGTCTGACATTAATAAGCCACTCCAGCTCTCTTATGATCACTGTTTGCATGGTATATCATTTTCCATCTTTTAGTTTTAACTTCTTTGTGTCTGTGAATCTAAAGTGTGTGTCTTGTGAACAGTATATAGTTGGATCTTGCTTCTTTATATAGCCTGACAATCTGTAGTAGATCTAACAGTATAATATAATAAGTCTGCTAGTAACATCTTCTCTCAGTTTTTGCTTGTCTGGTAATATCTTTATTTCAGTTTCTTTTTCAAAGAATGGTTTTACTGAATATAGAATTCGTGGTTAAGAGGATGGTATTTTTTCCCCAGCCCTTTTTTTTTTAACATCTTTATTGGAGTATAATTGCTTTTCAATGGTGTGTTAGTTTCTGCTTTATAACAAAGTGAATCAGTTATACATATACTTATGTCCCCATATCTCTTCCCTCTTGTGTGTCCCTCCCACCCTCCCTATCCCACCCCTCCAGGTGGTCACAAAGCACCGAGCTGATCTCCCTGTGCTATGCGGCTGCTTCCCACTAGCTATCTATTTTACGTTTGATAGTGTACATATGTCCATGCCACTCTCTCACTTCGTCCCAGTTTACCCTTCCTCCTCCCCGTGTCCTCAAGTCCATTCTCTACGTCTTCTCCAGCCCTTTTAATAAGTCATTCCGCTGTCTTTCTGGCCTTCAGTATTTCTAGTGAGAAGTTAGAAGTTAGTTCGTTGTTTTCCCCCTATATATGATGAGTCATTTTCTCTCGCTGCTTTCAAGATTTTTCTCTTTGTCCCTGGCTTTCAGAAATTTGCCTCATATGTCTAGGTGTGGTTTTCTTTTAGTTTATCCTATTCAAATTTCATTGAGCTTTTGGATGTGTAAGTTAAAGTTTTTCATTAAATTTGGGAAGTTTTCAGCCATTATTTCTTGGAATCTTTTTTCTACTCCTTTCTCTCTCCCCATTTTGGGACTCCCATTACATTTAAGTTGGAATGCTTGACTTCAAGGTTTCTAAGACCCTGTTTATTTTTCTTCAATCCTCTTTTTTCTCTGTTCTTTGGAGTGGATAATTTCTATTAGTCTATCCTCAGATTCACTGATTATTTCTTCTGTCATCTCAAATCTGCTGCTGGGACCATCTAGTGAATTTTTCATTTGAGTTATTATACTTTGCAAATCTAGAATTTCCATTTCGTTCCTTTTTATACTGTTTCCTTATTGAGATTTGATTTGTGTTGATTCATTGTTAGCATTTCTAAAATTATTTGAACATATTTATAATAGCTGCTTTGGAGTGTTTCCCTGCTAAAGCTAAAAGCTGGGCCCACTTATAGTTTCTTCTAACTGCTTTTTTCTCTGTATATGGGTAGAACTTTTCTGGGTTTTTTTGCATATCTAGTAGTTTTTGATTAAAAAAATGGACATTTTAGATAATATATTGTAGCTACTCTGAGTTCCATTTTATATTTTTGAGGATTGTTGGAGTTTTGGTTTTTTGTTTAATAACATGCCTAGATTTAAACTGCAGAATCTATCTCCCTGATGTGCAGCCACTGATGCCTCTGCTATTCTTTTTTTGTTTGTTAATTTGTTATGTTTGCTTAAACTGGCTCCCTAGTGATTTCCTCTTTGACTGCATAGCTTACTGGTCAGTCAATGCTTTGGGCAGAGGTTGTACTCAAACATCTTGAGCCAATTAGGCTCCTGCCCTCTGCTGACTGATAATGTGTGTGGACTGGGGAATGCATTCAAAGTTTCAGCCTGTGCTCAAGTGTCCCTCATCTTTTACGTTTTGCTGGTCTCTCCAAGGTCTCTTGGATCTTCTCTAACCATGTGTAGTGTCTCAGTCAGCCAAGGATGTATGAGGAGCTTATCTCAGCTATTCTATGCCTGTCTCATTTCCAGAATTACCCTGTTAAATTTCTGGCTGCTTCACCACTTGCTCTGAACCTGAACGTCATCTTGAAGCTGGCAGAGCTGCTTGAAGCATTTCCCTTGTGCCCAACTAAGTCCACTGCTTATTGCTGGCAAGGCTGTGGGACTGTGGCCACTACACTGAATGGCGCCTGACTCCTCTTGCAGAAGTGAGATTCTCTTGCAAAACTGAAAACTATCGAGTGAAATAAAACACAGCAAGATAAATTTCCAGGCTCTGATACTTTCATTAGTGAGTTATACCAAACATTCAAAGGAGAGTTAATACCAAGATTTCACAGGCTCTACCATAGAGAAGAAAAACGATGGAACACTAAGCAACTCATTTTATGAGACCAGCAGAAATTTAACACCAAAACCTGACAACACGTTACAAGAATGGAAAATTAAAGGTTAGTCTCTCTTATAAGCGTAATATGTAAAAATCCTGAACGTAAACCACAATTTTAAATCCATCAATATATAAAAAGGACAATCCATCACAAACAAGTTTTGTTTAGTTAAAAAAAGTATTAGTTTAATATTGGAAAAATCTATACCTTCAATATTCTATATCTGGCTCAAAAATGACATGCAACAAACTGGGTAACTTTATTTTTTTTAAATAATTTTTGTTGGAGTATAGTTAATTTACAACATTGTGTTAGTTTCTTCTGTACAGCCAAGTGAATCAGTTATACGTATACCTATGTCTACTCTTTTAGATTCTTTTCCCATATAAGTCATTACAGAGTATTGAGTAGAGTTCCCTGTGCTATACAGTAGGTTCTTATTAGTTATTTATTTTATATATAGTAGTTTGTATATGTCAGTCCCAATCTCCCAATTTATCCCTCCCACCCCCTTTCTCCCTTGATAACCATAAGTTAGTTTTCTACATCTGTGACTCTATTTCTGTTTTGTAAATAAGTTCACTTGTACCATTTTTTTAGATTCTACATGTAAGCCATATCATATGATATTTGTCTTTCTCTGTCTGACTTACTTCATTCAGTAAGGGTATCTTTATATATGGATAAATCCTGTGATAAATAAGAAAGGGTAGGGTCCTTCATTACCTATCACTATGAAATAAACTCTTTCTTGAACACCCTACAGCAGTGTTTCCCAAAATATGTGCCTTGGAACAGTAGTTCTGGGAGGAACAAAGGTATTGGGAACAAATAAGTTTGGAAAAACCTGTGTAATACCCTCTGTTCCCACTTGTGCAGTAGCATATTAAACACTCTGAGATATACTGCAGTGAAGAAACTTTTTATGTTTGTTTAAACCAGTGTTTTACCAAAGTTACCAAAGCACAGAATCCTTTTTTTTCCCGTATGCCTATTACTAAGGGGCAGAGCTAGTATTTTGTGGAGCTCATCCTAAGAAATGCTTGTCTATAGTAACCAAGGGTCCATACAGCAAATTATCTCCTACCAGGAACTAAACAGTATTTTGCTAGCTTGGAAGAGGTCCTAAGAGACCTATTTACATTGAGAAAGATATTTATTGACTTCAGCTTTCTATTAGCTCAATATCTCATGTTCAATATTCAGTTATTAATAATTTATTATAATTGTTTTCTCACTTAAGTTATAGATGTTTAGTGTATAAAAATCAAGCAACACAGAAAAGTTGTATACAGAATGTTAAAGTTCTCCTTAATCCCCTCCTTTAGAGATTATCATTATTAGCAGTTTAGTGTTATTATTCAGTATTTAAAATTCATATTTTTTGCAAAGTTTTTTACAATAATTGCTCACTAGCAGAGGATTTGGTCAGTTTTTGCTATCTAATGAAAATGCACACATTAATACCATTAAAACCTCTAAGCTTTCAAATAAATATGAAAATATCAGAGTTTAAAAATATATATGCAAAAGATGAACATTAAAAGTTAAATACAAAAGGGAAGATAAAAGAAGGAAAAAACCCTAGGAAAAGAAAGCCGATGACTGTGACATCTGATTAACTTGAAGCAAGAAATGGAACACACCAAAGATGGGAAACAAAGGGATAATTTATTTATTTATGGATACACAAAACACTTACCTTTTGAATGCTCTGACAGTTTCATAAAAAACAGTTTTCACTATGGCTATGACAAATCAAGGCATACTTACACAGGAAAATATTCACAGGCATGAAATTACTGTTTACGCCAACAAGAGAAAATGGATAAAAGACATCAGTAGTTGACAGTTATGATTGATGGGGAGGAGGTGTCTCTCATTCACAATAATCCAGGATTTGGAATGAAATGAAGGTCAACAGAGGAGGGACTCCAAGTAAGTGTCATCCTGTTGACACCTGAAGCACCACTGTCACCAAGGGAAACAACTAGGCATTCATTGTCCCCTTTCCATTGGTGGCATTTGTAGGGATCAAGTGGGAATTGAAATGACAAGAAAAAGGGTTTTGTAAACAAGGCCATAGTAATTATCATACTGGATCAGTCTTATGGGTCATTTAATTCATGACAACATCTGACAATGGTGTCCAGGGCTATTTTGTGGAAGCGTCTCATTTTCCTCTATGCTGACTTCAAACGTTTCAGGTCCAGTTCCAACAATTATTTTCTTTTAACGGCTCAGGCTGAAATGTCAGAGTGTTTATATACTATTCTTCCAACTCTCAGATCAGTTTCATTTCCTCCTGTGGTTCTTTCTCCAGCTTTAATGTATCTTTCCTCCAGTGTGGACACAGAACTGCATACTGTATTCTGAATGTGAACTCTTCTGCTTCCTCTACAATGCCATTCCTAATGACCCCACATTTTTGCTGCTCTTTGAGGCTGAAGAACCAGTCTGGACCAGCATGTTCAATGAACAAGATGATTGTCTCTGACCACCCCCCTTTCCTTGGTTTAGATGATAGTCAGTCCTTCTTTAGGTTTGGTGGAAACAGCAAGTCAGGAGTCCTTGCCCACGGTTTGGTATTATCAGTAATGAGCTATGTGACCTTGTAAGTTATTTAATTTATTCATGTACTAAATGAAAGGATTGACTTTTAGGTGCCTTAAGTTCCCTCGCAGCTCTGAATTTATGTAATTATGCTATTGTAGCTTATCTATCATTTTTCTCTACATTCTTACACCTCATAGGAACTTTTAGCACTATATTTCTATCTTGGCATTTCATTTACTGCAGTTGGTTAGTGTCAACTACAGATGTAAATATTTTACCTTAAAATCTCAAATCTTAATGTAACATACACTTCTCCATCAGTGTGTAAGTAACCATCTCCACTGTGCTTTTTAAAACCCCAACCCTTTATTTCCTAGCTGTAAATTACAACCCTAATGGCCATCGTCAAAGAAATCTACAAACAATAAATGCTGGAGAGGGTGGGAAAAAAGAGAACCCTGCTACACTGTTGGTGGGAATGTAAATTGGTACAGCCACTATGGAGAACAGAATGGAGGTTCCTTGAAAAACTAAAAATAGAGCTACTATATGATCCAGCAATCCCACTCCTGGGCATATATCTGCAGAAAACCATAATTCAAAAAGATACAGACACCCCAATGTTCATTGCAGCACTATTTACAATAGCCAGAACATGGAAGCAATCTAAATGTCCATCAACAGAGGAATGGGTAAAGAAGATGTGGTACATACATACAATGGAATATTACTCAGGCATAAAAAAGAATGAAATAATGCCTTTTGCAGCGACATGGATGGACATAGAGATTGTCATACTGAGTGAAGTAAGTCACACAGAGAAAGGCAAATATCTGATATCGCTTATATGTGGAATCTAGAAAAAATGGTACAAATGAACTTATTTACAAAACAGAAATAGAGTCACAGATATAAAAAACAAACATGGTTACCAAGGGGAAAAGGGGGGGAAATAAACTGAGAGATTAGGATTGACATATACACATTACTATATATAAAATAGATAACTAATAAGGACCTACTGTATAGCACAGGGAACTCTACTCAGTACTCTGTAATGACCTATATGGGAAAAGAATCTAAAAGAGTGGATGTAATGTATAACTGTATATGTAATGTATAACTGATTCACTTTGCTGTACAGCAGAAACTAACACAACAGTGTAAATCAACTATACTCCAATAAAATTTTTTTAAAATTCACAACTCTATCCACTCATTCACTTATACATTCTTTCATTTTTTAAAAAATATTAAGTTCCTATTAATGTGCCAGTAAGACAGATATCATTCCTATTCTTATTGCACTTACAATATAGAAAGACAGGTACTTGAACACTCCAAGACAATAAAATGTAATCCTAGGGAAAGTACTAGGGAATATTTAGCAGAGACATATAACCAAGTCCCAAAGCAACCTCAGTTTTTTAAAATGACTTCACTATTTGAAACTATGAATGTTTAAATAAATTACACCTGCAGTTCTCCTTTATTTAAGATAAGGTAACTTAAGTAGTAACATTTAGAAATTCTCCTTTCCCTAAAAAAGTAGCTACATTCAGGCACCTCCATATCAATAACACCTTACAACCCAGGGGAGTGTTTTCCAAATGGCTTTATATTTCCGAGTAGCTTCTTTTCTTTTATGTGTTAGTTGATAAACAACCCAGCATTTTCTCCAAGTATTGTGGAAAAGTGGCCTGACATAGGTGAAATTAATCAAATCCAATATACTTTATCCATTGTTTACAGAAATGTTTTGTCTGTATTCTACATGGGATGCCCCACAAATCAGTGTAATGCATTTGCTACAAAGGAACATAATTGGCCAACACACACAATAGTCTTTCGTGTATTTAAGAGAGTAAAGCTTCACTGTTGTTGTTATTGTTGAATATTTTTAATCTTAAATTTAATGGTTTTGACTTTTATTATTTCTCCATTATATACATAATATAGAATTATAGTCATATTAGAAACTTGTAAATGAGTAAAAAAGAAAACAATCATCCTTAAAGTTCTAGTCAGATATAACTCCCATGAACAGTTTAGAGTATAACCTCCTAGATGTTTTTTCCCCTTTCCTTTCTTTCCTTTCTTTAATGGACTTCAACTGCACAAATTTGAAATTATCATAACCCTTACTTTGTAACACATTCTCATCATTTACCCTCTTTATTATTGATTAATAAGCTAATAAACATTTACCACCCTATGCAAGATCTAGAATACTGACAATAAATTACAAGTTATTGTCAATATTCTAGATGTTTTCCTATGTGGTATGTGTGTGTGCATATATATATGTAACTTTTAAAAAAGTGGTCCTTTTTAGCCAAGATCTCATTAGCCAAGTACCCACAGTTAAGAGATTGCACTAAAAAGCAAAGATTGTCCCAACATATATTTACCAATGAACCAATATAGTCACATGATATATTGTGAACTTTCAAAGCCATCAATATACATTTATATCATTTTAAGTACTGAACAGTATTCCATTGCATAAATTTGTTATAATTTGTTTAACGGTCCTCTTTTTTAACATTTAGATATTCTGCTTTTTTAATTAAGTAAGAATGTGAAAACATCCTTAAATATGCTTCTTGACCCATCTATCTGATTATTTCCTCTTGTTGGATCAAAGGGTATGCACGTTTTTAAGGCCTTTGATGCATCCTACTAAATTGCTTTTAAAATTTAAACTAATTTAGGTTCCAGTGACCTCACTAGAGAAGCAGAAGCTCCTGATGCCAGAAGACCTCAGGCAGCTGGACGTTGGTGGAGTAAGTACAACAGTCAGACCTGAGGTTAGGTAGGGCACTGACAAAGTCTGCTATGCTTTAGGAAGGAATCATATACAGAGCATTTAATCTGTGATATTTTAGCATATTTCTAGGTTATGTGTGCAACAGCACAGTAAAACCCACGATGGAAAAAAAGCCACAGAAACAAAATTTAGTGTGGCCAGAGGTACAAGTTTCTATCAGAAAAGACAAATTATATGATGAAGAATGTGGAAATCATTTAAAAAAATAAAAAGTATAACTGTTCAATCCTATCCAATTTTTATGTATCTGTAACCCTTAGGACAACTTGAAATGCCCAATATGTAAACCTTCAGGTAGATGAAGACCTAGAAAAAATATTTTTGAACTGTTACATGCTTCTATATATACATGTAACAAACACATATTTAAATACTTTTCTAACCTGAATTTGGTAATTTAGGAATATTCCCACCTCATTCCAGTCCTCCTGCTTACCATTTATTTTAGGTTTTAGAAATGGTAAAAAATTGTAAAATAGTATATATTATATATATATATATATATATATATATATATATATATATATATATATACTATTGTATTCAGGAAAAACACATACTCCCTTTTTGGCCAACTGCATCATTGGCAAAGTTCTGCCGCTTTTCATGTGCTTTAAAGGCGAGTCCAATGTATCTCTTGAAAACTGTTTCCTGCAACTCTGCCTTGCTTTCAAATACTTTTCGTTGCCTTACCTCAATATATTTTTGGACGATAGTTATCATTTATAACTCTGCAGATTTGTGAATTGCAGTGCCCCTCAGCTCCATTTTTCAACTCGCTTTTTTGGGAGCTGGCCGCAAAACAGCAGGATTGCTTCAGACCCTATTCTGGTTCCGGGGCGGAAGGCTGAGCCTTTGGTTAATTATTCCTGATTGGAAATTAGAGTGACATGTGCCTGTCCAAACACCTAGAGCTTGTCTCTCATTAGTTCCCCCTCTTCCCGTCCATCCTCGGAAAAATTGCAAACTGTACAAAACAGGAGGTTACAGGTGCTGATTCTCCAAGTGGGGAGCTTGTTAGGAAAGAGGCTGGAGGGGTGAACCCGACTACCAGGATATGAGGAGATGACGTGTCTTTTCCAAACTCTTTCCGATCAAAGGGTGTACTATCTTCTGGGTGTCACAGGCATGTTTTAGCTTTAGGAAGAGTTCCCTGCATGTAAGGAGAACACCAGGGATTTTTCCAAATCAGTGTCTCCTCGAACCCCACACTGGGAAATTTTTAAGCTACGGGTACATGTTTGTTCATTAAGGGCCTTGGGCAGTAGTCAGATTCCGAGCTTTAGATGCTTGAAGTCTTCACGGTCAGAAGCGCCCACCATCGACCTCCTTTAGGTTACATTTTATCTGTCGTTGATAGATGATGTCGATATAGATGTCTATTCTTTTTCAGATTATTTCCCATTATAGGTTATTACAAAATATTGAGTGTAATTCCTTGTGTTATACAGTAGTTCCTTGTTGATGATGTATTTTATACGTAGCAGTGTGTATGTGTTAATCCCAAACTCTTAATTTATCCCTCCTCCCTCATTTCCCCTTTGGTAATAATAAGTTATAAGATTTTATACTCAGAAATGGGGGAGCTGAAAGAGAGGTATCATTTTCAATGGAAAAGCATTCAAAACAAGATTGAAGCTTCAGCCAAGATTATTAGACGTACATCCTTGGAAAGAAATCACTTCATTTCTCTAATATTGACCTGACAAATAAGACAAACCTTTTCACTGAACTTGCTTATAATAAAGTGATGGAAATATCAAATGGAAGTGTTAGAAACATCTTATTTTACCCGAGCCTTATACACTGTTCTATGTTAATTACAGCTTGGCTCACATATCTGTTCATTGAAGTTACAATGTTCTCAATTTCCGTTACAGATCCTCCAGAGTGGGCCCCAACAAGGGTCCCCCTGCCCAGTGTCATTGGAGCCAACAGATCGAGATTGAGTTTGGTTCAGAAGCAAAGGAAACTTTATATTTTGATCAGAGAATGGAGAGGTGAGAGCGAGAGCTCCCCCGCGGGCTGTGGGCCAGGCTGCTGTGTAGGGATCCGGTCAGCGTCAGCAGGTGGGAGGGGGCGGAGCTCTCGAGGGCCGGGTTGGCTGGAGCTCAGGCTCTATGTCGCGGAGTCTGAACGGGGCCCCGCAAGCTGAGGTGTCGGCCCAGCCATTTTGCGCTAGGAAATCGGGTCTGCAGTGCCGGGTGTGAGGCCTCTGCCTGCGGAACCCTAGGAGCAAGTGAAATTAGACAAAGCACAAAGGAAAAAAAGGTTAGACTTTATTTTATTGCCCAGATTCTATTTTTATCTCCCAGGAATTTTTAATGGGCTTTGCCAGTGACAAACCCCCTCCTCTGCCTTTTGTCCCGTTCCTCATTCTTGGGGCGCTGAGGGTGCAGACCCCTCTTCTGTAAATGCTTCGTGCTAAGTTGGGAGTCCTCATACCCGGGGGGGAGGGGTAGAACTTCTCCCCAGCAGCCTCCAGGTGAGGTTGATTGTCCCTAGGCCTCCTGCCTCACTGCTCGTCCGCCTGAGCGCCAGCATTGGAAGTGTTATAGATTCCAATGACCTTTAAGGGTCCAGGAAAGAGATGCGCAGAGACGCTGGGGGGGGCCGGTTTTACCCCGCCCCACATTTGTTCGGCCACCTTAGGCTGACGGTTTCTGCCAGCCTAGATGCTCTGACCAGTAGTCTGCGCTTTCTTCAATTAGGCCCCTGAATTAACGTACAAACAGCACCAGGTGTCAGGGCCCTGCCCGCTCAACTCCCAGACAGTCCAGGGTCGGTGGTGATGCAGGACCATGACGGCCACTGAGTCAACGGCCTTTTGAAGTAGCCAGGAGTCCAGCCGTTCTCATTGGCCGCTGTCACCGCGGTGGCTGTTGGCTTTTCTATGGTGACAGCGTGATATACGGTTCCCCTGCCAAGCTTATTAGCTCCGCACTGGGTGCAGTAAGTCCTGCAAGCACTGCTCTTTTGGGACACACTCTTGTTGTTTTCTGAGAGAAGCTCCAGGTCAAGTGATGGTCACACGAGTCGTCATGGGGGCCCGTTGCCCCCGGTTGTCTCTCTGGAGGTTGGAGTTGGAGGGCCTCCTCACTCGAGGTCAGTGTGCCCATGGAGCGATCCCTGCAACTTCAGGGCATTGTGGGTGGTTAGGATCACCACGTGGGGTCCTTTTCCCTTAGGAGGGAGCTGGCCTTGCGGGCTGCTGATTTCCAGGTTTTTAGATACCCCCAGTATCCTGGCAGCGGGCCAAGCCCTTGGTGACTATAACTTCTCCTACCTGGACGGCATACTGAGTTGTTCCATTTCAAGTGGTCCCAGTTTTTGCACTAATACTCCAAGGGCGATTCACCTTCTACTGGGAATGTAAAGGTCAAAGTGTTTAGCTAAATTTGGGAGGGCCAGGGCCAGGGCCTGAATTAACTTCTCTTTCAATTCTTGAAAGGCCACTTCTGGATTCTATTCAAAAGGATCATCGTCTTTTCCTCTCAATGTTTCATATAGAGGCCCAGCTATTAGACTGTAGTTAGGGATCCAGATGCAGCAAACCCCGGCCTCCCCAGGAACCCCTGAGCTGTCTTCTAGTTTTAGAAGGGGTAAGGCTGCAAATGGCTTCTTCCCTTTCCTGGGATGGGCTTCTCCGACCTTCTGTGAGAATGAAGCCCAGGCAGGTCACCTTAGTCTGTGATATTTGAGCATTTGTCTTGGACACCTTCTATCCTTTATTGGCTGGGTAGTTCAGAGACCTCCTTAGTAGGGCTGGCGATCAGAATGTCGTCTGCATATTGAAGGAGGGTTCACTTCTCCAGAGGTAGATCTTTTAGGTCTTTAGCTAAAGTTTCCCCAAAGATGGTGGGGGAATTTTTGAACCCTTGTGGTAGGACGGCCCAGCAGGATTCTTTCTGTTGTATGTTGAGTCCTGCCAGTCAAAAGCTAAAGTTTCTTGTGACTCTGGGACTAATGGAATACAGAAGAAGGCATCTTTTCAGTCTAATACAGAATACCAGGTGCTGGTTGATAGTAGAATGACGAGCTTTGTGTAGGAATTAGGAACTACTGGATGTATATCCTTGGTGGCTTCACTGACTGTCCTGACACCCTTTACCAGGTACTCAGCAGCCCACGGGGCTCTCGTGGTCAGGCCCCTCCCAGGATACGGAGCTCACCTGGGCAGGTACCCCGGCAGGGCTGGGCACACAGGAACCGTGCACATAGCCCTCATTGCAGAGCACCGCCAGCTCACCTGTTGGTCAGAGCTGACCCAGAGCACCACAGAGCAGGACTTGAACTAACAAACAGCAGCTCCAACAGGTCTGTGACCCTGGGCTTCACTCTGGGCGGCCTCACTCCACCTGGTCTTCCAGAGGCTTCCACTACAGCCGCAGCACCAGGCCTCTGTCTCCACCCACCACCCCTCCTCTCCCTGACTCCTGGGTTCCTCCCATTAGGAGAGGGTCTTCTTGCAGTTGTCTCCCACTCATGGACCAGATAAAATGATTAGAAAACAAGCCAGAGCTGCAGCCCCTTGTCTATCTTGACTCTCAAAACTCTACACTTGTTCCTTCGACCTGGCCGGTGCAGCAAGGCCCATTTTCTGCAACTGTGAGCCCCTGAGGGGCGAGGATTGGCTGACCTGGGCAGCCTGACCTGGCCAGCCAGCCCTCCCCAGGTGTGCCTGGGTTGAGGTCTATATAAACACCGCTCCAGGCAGCGAGAGCCCCTGCAGCTGTGCCTGACGCCATATTCTCTGCCCCGTCAGCAGTTTCGGGGCTGGGCTGGTGGGAGGGAGTAGGGCCAACGGCTTTGTGGGTGGCCCGGTGTGAGTGGGGCTCTGCTGGACTTTCTGCAGGAGTTGCCAGTCTGCTACCTGCTAAAGAAGATGATGTGTCACCCATACCTGCTGTTGGAATTTCTCTGTGGGCAGAGGTGAGGAATGAAAAAAGCAGTGGGGGCCGGGACAGGAGGGGTATCTCAGGCAGGCAAATGGAAAGCTTACAGAAGTGCGCCCAGGGCCAGGACCATCCTGGTTGGCCTGCAGGCACCAAGTCGGCCTGCGTGCTGTCGCTGGTGTGGCTCCACGGCCCTTCCTGTAGGCTTTCAAGTCCTTGCACACATTCAGGTGTTTTACCTGGGAAGGGTGGGAACAGTTCAGCAGCAGCTGGCCTGGGGCTCAGCTCACGTTTACTCACAGATGCCTCGGCACGGTCCCCCAGCTTTGCAATGAGGATGCTCCTTGCGGGGGTGGGGGGGCTGCTGGCTGCATGGGAGACGATTCCCCACCTCTGACCAACTTCAGAATTGTTTACCACTGGAGCAAGTGTCCTGATAGGGTTTTTCTCTGTATAACTGGTGGGTTCTATGGTTTTTTTTCTTTTTTTGTTTCAAGGTAAGTTTTTTTATTGTTTTTTTTTCTTTTCTTTTTTTTTTTTTTTGCGGTACGCGGGCCTCTCACAGGCCCAGCTGCTCTGCAGCATGTGGGATCTTCCCGGACCGGGGCACGAACCCGTGACCCCTGCATCAGCAGGCGGACTCTCAACCACTGCACCACAAGGGAAGCCCTCAAGGTAGGTTTTATTCCTTTTTTTTGTATTTGTAGATATAAGCATAGAAATAATTCATTCATATAAATACGTCTATGGGAAGGGAAGAACTTTTTCTTTCTTTTTTTTAAAATTTTTTATATTATTTATATTTTTATACAGCAGTTTCTTATTAGTTATCTTTTATACATATTAATGTATATATGTTAATCCCAGGCTCCCAGTTCATCCCACCCCCCCAGCCACTTTCCCCCCTTGGTGTCCATACGGTTGTTCTCTACATCTGTGTCTCTATTTCTGCCCTGCAAACCTGTTCATCTGCACCATTTTTCTAGGTTCTACACACATGCGTTAATATGTGATATTTGTTTTTCTCTTTCTGACTTACTTCACTCCGTATGACACTCTCTAGATCCATACACGTCTCTACAAATGACCCAATTTTGCTCCTTTTTATGGCTGAGTAATATTCTATTGTATATATGTACCACAACTTCTTTATCCATTCGTCTGTAGATGGGCATTTAGGTTACTTCCATGACGTGGCTACTGTGAATAGTGCTGCAATGAATATTGTGGTGAATGTGTCTTTTTGAATTATGGTGTTCCCTGGGTATATGCGGGATTGCTGGGTCATATGGTAATTCTATTTTTAGTTTTTAAAGGAACCTCCATACTGTTCTCCATAGTGAATGTATCACTTTACATTCCCAACAACAGTGCAAGATGGTTCCCTTTTCTCCACACCCTCTCCAGCAGTTGTTGTTTGTAGATTTTCTGGTGATGCCCATTCTAACTGGTGTGAGGTGATACCTCATTGTAGTTTTGATTTGCATTTCTCTAATAATTAATGATGTTGAGCAGCTTTTCATGTGCTTCTTGGCCATCTGTATGTCTTCTTTGGAGAAATGTCTATTAAGGTCTTCTGCCCATTTTTGGATTGGGTTTTTATTTTTTTAATACTGAGCTGCATGAGCTGTTTATATATTTTGGAGATTAATCCTTTGTCCATTGATTCATTTGCAAATATTTTCTCCCATTCTGAGGGTTGCCTTTTCATCTTGTTTATCTTTTCCTTTGCTGTGCAAAAGCTTTTAAGTTTCATTAGGTCCCATTTGTTTATTTTTGTTTTTATTTCCATTACTCTAGGAGGTGGATCAAAAATATCTTGCTGTGATTTATGTCAAAGAGTGTTCT